GACGTAAATGCATAAGACTAAGACCAAAATATTAGAAGCATCTGAAGCGACACCAAAAGTAATAAATAGGCACAGTTTGCCTCAACTTAGAGCAGTCAAGCTCACCGACAGAAATTTCAGAGAATTTTCTCTTAGCAGAGTGCACTCCATATTAATTATTGTGGCAGATTAAAACGAAAGTGTAATATTTAATCATGTGAACAACACCAACGTCGTCGTACATGCGGTCCAGTTGATCGAAATTGCGTAGACAATAATAGTCCTTCGTTTCGAGTCGGCGTCAGAATGCGACGTTGATAATCATCCGAATGTACAGGCTGTAAAGTCAATGTTGCATTAAATGTTGTTATTGACAAAAAGGTCTTGATATACTCCAGTCTTTGAATAACGATCATGACATTAGGGGCTCTGAAAATCAAGATTTTTGAAGACTCATCTGTCATAAAGGAAGTTACAAAAATCTTTTTAAGTCGATTCCCTAAGACATCTATAATAGACCAGGCATTCAGTCCAGAACTCAGTTGTCTCAGTCCAGAACTGAGACAGGTCCCCAACTGAGGTACAACAGACATACATCCAAAATTAAAATTTTTATTATTTCTGGATTTGGAACTTCAAAAAACCCATTTTATTTTACACAAAGTTTTTGACAAAATTGACAACTATATTACGGATAATATCCACGAACATTAATATCTTACATTATTTTTCAACAAAGACTTCACTGCGCAGGGCTGGGATAATGCCATCAACAATATAGATTTCAATGAATGTGATTCAGAACACTTAAAAAATATTAAAAAATTAATACAGTTGTACCTCCATAAAAGAACCCTCTATAAAAAAACGTCATATAAAAACCTCTTCACAAGAAAATTGCATCAAAGACCCAATTATTATTAAACTTATAAAAAAAAACCTTTATAAAAGAACATCTCTTCATAAGAACATTTTTTTTTCAAAAAATCACTATGGTCCCAACTTGGTTCTTAAATAGAGGTGCGACTGTACAGGAACTTTACCTAAATTGTAAGGGCAAGAGAGAACTTACGCAACTTATTATAGTAATATTTGTCCACTATTTTTTATTCGTTTTAGTTTAAAAGCGTTTCATTGAAGGATCTTAATCCGTTGAGGGATATTACAATTCTTGAGAAACCGCATCTTACGTGGGGGGGTTTAAAAAGTTTTGACACAATGTACATACACTACCTGGACAAAAGTATCGGTTACCCTAACTTTATTAATTGCTCAAAAGTGTACATAATACTTGGGATTAAAATTTTTATATGAAACGTGCATATATTTTTTACGTATTGTTTATATTTATTTCTTCTGTAAGCAATATAATAAACTGAATCAGTTAATTTTAATCTTTACTTTGAAAATGTCTGACTTAACTGAAGCTGAACGCGGCCAAATTATTGTGGTTTCTAAAAGTGGAACTACAAAACGAGCATATTTAAGACGCTTGGCTTTCCTAGAACAACAGTAACGCAAACGATTCAAAATCTTCTCGAAAAAAAAAAGTCTCACAATCCAACCACGCAGTGGCCGCCCAAAACTTTTAAATCTTGAGCATAAGCAAGTATTAAAGCGGATTGTTAAGCAAAACAAACAAAAAATCAGCTGAACAACTCAAAAAACTGTTTAATAAAAGAACCGGGTTTGATGTTTCTACTAAAACTATTAGGAAAAATCTACACGAAATTATTATTTTTTTCTCGCATTCCGACATCCAAGCCTTTACTTACTGATCAGGAAAGAGTAAATCGCCTAAACTGGTGTATTGAAAGACAGGATTTAAACCCTATTGAACATTTATGGTCAGAACTGAAAAGACGCATTAATAACCGTTCGACTTTACCTAAAAATGTAAGGAAACTTGAGACAGCATTACAGGAGGAATGGAGCCAAATTCCCAACAATGTTTTAATGAATTTAATTAAAAGTATGCCTAGAAGGGTCAAAGCATGTATTGCAAGCAAAGGCTGGTCAACGAAGTATTAATTTTATATATAGATTCATAACAAGTTAGACTATAGCATATAAAAATTTTAGTCTCAATTATTATGTACACTTTGGAGCAATTAATAAAGTTAGGGTGACCAATACTTAGTGTATTTCAGCAACCACTGATTATAAATATTTATATTAAAGCTTGAGTCACACATAAAAAAATTGACCCATTTTAATTTGATGGTTATCGAGAAAATTTTTTTTGAAATTTGTCTACTGAAAACTGTGGAAATTTTACTCGTCGATACTATACCTGGGTTCGCTGGAAAAACGGGTAAAGGAGCGGGCGATATTCACAAAGAGTTAGTTATTGCTGAGGGAACTAAAGCACTATTCAAACGTACTATTTACTGCTATATTGAAGCATTCGAAGCCGGGCAATCAAGCATCAAAAGATGCACACCATTCTAGATGTCCTCGCAAAGCTGTTACATTTTCGAACGTTAATATCGTTAAGATATTATACATAATGACACCCATATCAGCATTGAAAACGTTCAGGGAGTTATTTCTATCTCAATTGGGAAGTATAAAACAACTTTACATTTTGAAGAAAGCATGTTTAAATGGAACCCCCCTCATATGCCACACATGTCAAAAATTGTCACCAAGTACTTTCAGGAAGAACGAGTTATACTTCTCTCTACTATACATAGTCCTGATCTGGTATTGGGTAACTTTTTTTTATTTAAAAACTTGGTGGAAAAAGGTTCAAAATGTTCAGCTATGTTATAAATTTAAAGACCAACAGCATACCATAAAAAGAGTATGCTGAGTATTTTCAGACTCAACGTAAAAGGCTGAGACGTAGTATGGAAGTTAAAGAGAGTATTTTAAAAGAATAAAATAGTTAGATTGATGTTTATTATGTTAAATAAAATTTTTATACGCAAAATTGAACCGCCTACGTAATCAGTTTGTACACCCTATAATTGATTCGGCATTGCGGAATTTTGCCAAGGTTGATTACATATAGTAAGTAGCTTTGAACCTACGTTTATCTACATAAATTACATTATTAATAAAATGCTTTCATATTATATAGTGGTGAAATGCTTCTGAAAGGTCATGGAACTAGAATACGGGCCGATTTCTCAATAACGTGGTAAACTACCCTATAGTTTGTGGTGAGGGAGCTAGACCGGGTGCAACGCAGAAAAAAAGCGTGGATGATGATATCAAGGATGCAAGTATATAATAATATTGTCATAGAAGAAGCTGATGCACGCCGACAACTTTTTAAAGACTTGGTTTAAAACCGGATTGTCACTAACAATGGTGGATTTTAGAAGTATGCGTTACATAAATTTGTATTAAAATAATATAATGAGGAGGCTAATCATTCAATTCCAGGCGTACACAGGTTATTCGAGGTTGATCATTTCTGCCTACCGAAAAATGAATTGATATGTGTGGTTATATGAGGTAATAGACAATGAGCAAGTACTTATATGTTTTCATTATTTATGTGCTCATCAAATTAACAATGGCATTTTTTGTAAATATAGCTATGTGTTAATTCAACACGAAATGGATTGATCGAGCATAGAAAGAAACCAAGGGCGATACTCTGAAGCTGGCATCGCAAAAAAATTAGCACCGCAACGTTAAGGGATCAACATGAATAGACTTGATTATTTCGTGTTAAGGTTAAAATATTAATATATTATTTCGGAAATCTGATAGTTATAGTTAGAGGAATTTTTTTTGACTCTATGTTTTGCTCAGTGTTCTTTTGATAATTAATAGAATTCGCTTAACCATAAAATTACAATAAGACCTCGAAGATGTGTTCCAGAATAACTTTATATTAATAAGTAGATTTCTTAAACGGGACGACTCCTGTTACAGGTACAGGTAACACATTATAATTAGGCTGGACAATGCAATTGGCTGATGCTTAGAACTTGCGACGGCTTGGGGTGCTCTTCTTTTTGACATAGAATTAACACTCACATTTCATTCCACCATAGTTATCAGCAAAAAGGCTCTGACAATCCAAGGTCAACACGGTATTGGATCACCGCTTAATTATATGGCCGAATATCAACAGCTGGCTCATAAAGATCTGTTTGCTTTGCAAACTTTAGACAATGTTCCGATTGACATAGTAACGACAGACTTTCAGCAGGAAAGACGGGCCGCAATACCATGGTATCTGAATGGTTGTTTGCTGACTAAAGTAAGTTGAATCAGCTATCAAACAATTAGAATGCGCAATTGCGCTCGAAATCGCTAAACTTTGTCGAAACTTTGGACTATAGGCATTGATTTTCGGTGTAATTTTTTCATGGACTTTGGTGGTTATCTACCAGGTTATAAAAGTGTCCTCGTAAGCGGTGGCGGTTTTAATTGAGGATATTACAGCGGCGTGTAATTTTGGGAACTGTTATTTATTCGGTATAATAGTCAAGACAGGAGACATAAGTTTTAAGTACGTATGGAGTTTTGTGCAAGTCTACAGGGAAATGGTGCAAGCATAATAATAAGGGATATTTAATATTATTAACTGAATTCACTGAACGCTTTGTCTCGTGAGAAGCTTATGAAGAAACTTTGGATAAATAATTTTCTTATATGACATTGCTACAGATACTTTAATGATTATCATTCAGAATAAGAATGCATTCTGAATGGTCTTGCATACATATAATAGTTGAGAGAATAAGAAGGCTAGTATTTATTTTCCTTTACCAAGAATTACTGTAAAATGTTTTTTAATAATTTAAGATTGAATGCTGAGTATATATCGCATGGGCTCATCAATTTGTGCAGAAGTATTGACACAATGACCAAAATATTATTATTTTTCCAGTTCAAAATAAATGCTTGATTTATTACCATGATATTTACATATGTATGTGAAGTACAGATACAAAAAGCTTTATACTGGCTAAGAGTTGCTACTAAGGTAGTCATATTGTATTATTAAATTACTGTTCCAAGTCAGTATCTCTTAAATTGTAAGCATTAAGTTCACTAAAAATGATTGTAAAGTAGGCTGTACCTTACCTAATCTCCTCTTTTGAGATGAAGACGTTGCACATTTTTTATCAGCGATAAATGCACACCTCCCATACCTGCATTCTATTCTTAAACGCATGCCCATGATTAATAATAAGTTTAGTTTAGTCTTTTGTTCAACTTCTGCATAATGTACTCTCTGATTTCGCATTTGTCACCGAAACTAGCATCGCTGGGAAAGAATAAAAAGCCTGGTCACTTTAAGCTCACGCTTCGTACACCAACTTTTTCTCAACGTATTCCCTTGTGCCCTCCCCCTTCTCGATCAATTGCTGCCACTTATTTCTTTTTTCTTTGAGTAAAACTTCTGCTGTCTTCGCCACTTGCAGCTTTTTTCTTAACAAGTTTGATGGCGACGCGATGTGATTCAGTGGCTTAATCAATGGCGTATAGAAACATTCTAGACGTTTTCGAATAACTGTTATGATAATAATGCAGCACAAACAAACGAACCTTGTATAAAAACAACTTGCTCCCATTTGAATAGTCACACCGAGTGCAATAAATATTGTAAAAAGTTCAAACAACAGTCTCCATCAACAAACTTTGGCTTCGTTACTAATAGCATAATTTGTAATGGCCAGCTTAATAATACGGAGTCTTAATGTTAATTCAAACAATGAAGCAATTCAACGTAGGATTAACCAAGAGAAGAATGTAAACCATAGACTGAAAATAAAAAAAAATTTATAGTGATAATATTATAATAGTAAAGAAGATAATAATAACGGTGCACTTCATGTAATCACTCTGGTGTTCTATTGTCGTGCTAAACCCGACTCGTTGACAAGATTGGTTCAGCCATGCAAATTAAATAGAGAAAAACGCAGAACTGTCATTTAATTCGAATTTTTTTTGAACGGAAAAATAAATCGAATATTCGTAATTTACACCAATTATAAAGTATAAATAGAGGGCTTGAAATTCAATCAATTTGAATTCTGGAATAATTGTAATGATGCGGTGACAAAGTTAGTCTAACGTTTTTTTCGACACAAATTGTTCTGAAATCTAGGTACGTTGAAAATTGGTTATACAATTTAAAAAAAGATATACGATTTACAGTTTACTAAAGTGGACGACATATCGCTTAATAAAATAAGGAAGTTTTCTTGAAAGTTGAGACCACTGGTCCATTTAATAAAAAGAAGAGACGGAGATAGAGTTTATTCCCTTCAAAAAAAGCACTGTTTCGTAGGAAGAAAGTAAATGTTAATCTCTATTCAAACATAATTTTTATTTCTCAAGCATCTTCTAGCATACATGAAATACTTGTACCTTAAAGGTCAATCCAGCAGAAACTATTTGCAAACACTCTAATGTTGAAAATTAAATCTATGACACGTTTACCAGTTAATTCTGAAACCCGACTCAATTCATGATTTACAACTCACAATGCTTACTTCCCTTGTCGGCATTGTATAAAGTCTGGTCACTTTCACGTCACCATACGACGCAATTCTGCTCAAAGGTGCCATACAACAGCCGTAATTGAGATACTATTGAGTTGACCTTGACTACGACCACATGCCTGTTGTAACCAAGGTTAAGTACTGATCGTGCGGTAGTCACTAACCGCCTTTGGTAGACCCTGCACTCAATCTCCTAAGCAGTATCTCGTAGGTTAGTATCGTTAAGGCACTCGCGGGCACAGTTCGTAATAAGTTCGTATTCATTCCTTTGTAGAAAGCGATCCAGCCCTCTTCATGATAAATCACTTTGACAGCATGAAACATGCCATGATATCTATGAGGTTGTGTGGATTGACTTTGGAGACGGGTCCTTACGACTTCGTGTGGGTAAGTCGCCAGCGATGCAGCCATCTTGGAGACAATAGATGCAAAGAGAATCGCCGGGTACGAAAGATCCTCTTGATCCGAAGATTCTAAAGTATCGTTAATAATTAGATTGTCTATCGACAAGTGACGGTCAAACTTATATCAAGACATGTAAATGCTTACTGAGCAGTATTTTCAGCTTCTCATATAACGGAAACTGCACAGCTACGTGACTCACACCCATTAAAGATGGCCCAAGACCCTTATAGAATCCTTTGACACCTTCTGTACGAAGAATAGTCTTGAAAGCATGGTATGTATTATGATATCTATGTGTGCTTGTGACATTCTGCGTCTACAAGTAAAATAAATAGACAGCATGAGTATCTAAGCATTTGATAAAAAACTGTTTGACCAATAGGGCACTTTTAAACAGCTAACCGCTTACCATGAATCGAGTCTTAATAACCCATAATGGATTGGTAACGACAGTACTCGTGGCGCCTGCACCCATGGCCGCAAAAATGTGAACCATCGACTGGTGATCTGTTCGTTCTGACCAGAATATTCATAGCAAAAGAGGCCTCCGTCAGCCTTAATCTTTTGTTTAGTCTTTTCTTGCAATCAGAGAAACCAGCGATTAAAAAGAATGCCCTTTCAAATCAATTCTGCAGACCGCATAACTGCAACAATAAAAATAGATTGATTCCTGGTTCTTAACCGACATAGAAACTATCACCATTGATGTCGTAATGGAAGAAAAGACATGCTTGTGACAAAGTTATTGTCTTTTACACACGAGAAACCACAACCACTGGCGCCCGCGATTTTCCATAGGCCGTACGAAATTACGGTCGTTCCGATCAAAAACACAACAGGCATAAAAATCTATGTAAATTAGCCAATCTCTTAAATTTACCTGCTGCAAAAGCCCTTTTAAAGTGGTCATACGCGCTAAAATAGATAGCCCAGGTGGGAAGGTAGCCATACAACGTAGGACCAAGACCACGATATAAACCACGTATTCCTTCTTCGTTCCATATGCGTTTCAGTGTACCTGTGACCGCACAAAAGAAGTCTTGCTTTATCAATGGATGCTCTTTCTGCAGCAACTGCGACCAAAGAGTGCTGCGCGATCTTGACGGACGACATATAGTTAAGTTGACAAGCTACCGCCAGTTCCTTTATACAAAGGCACACTGCTACTCCCTTTCCTTTGGTTTTGTAGCCTAGTCTTCACCACATCCAAAGGACAAGTGACCACTGAGCTAACGCAACCAGCTACTGCTCCTGCGATCGAATGCTTTATTTTGTCAGATTCAGTCGTGAGTATTCCTGTGAGCTTGGAGTTAGACATGCTCGTTTGAGGTTGTAGCCAGGCACAATTTTTATGTCGTCTGTCAGGTGACAGAAATATTTGAGTCATGTGATGTAATGCTGTTTGACTGTGGGAAGCGCAATAAATAACTTTTATTTGCTTTGTTCTCTTGGCAGTTTTATTGTATCAGTTTGCTTTACTTTGCTTTGATATTAACGAGTGTGTAGCTGCAAACGTTGAAAAAATCATTTAATTTGTTTTTTTCTGTAAATTAGAAAGCTAGGTGTGCCCAAATATGAGTAAAATATTTCTCGGTATTATTTTCGGAAAAATTTTTTTCAAAATCTGGTTTTAGCTAAAGTGAGTACGAGGCTAGTTATTAAAGACCTGTTCATTCAGGAACTCGGCGCTCCTGCCTTTGTTATAATGAACCCGTTTAACATTTTTTTCGCCAAGCTGATCCATCATTTTAATTAGACTGCTCTATTACTAGTGCAAGGAAACGTTTGCTTAAGAGTAGCTGCAACACGATTATAAATGCTCAAGGAAGTCGCTGGTCACCCAACAACCTACATCTGCATTATTAGATCATTCCACATAAAAACATCAATAATATTATATTTTTAACGTTTCATCGGCAAACAAGTTGCAAGATGGTTTTCCATTGTAACCTTTATTTTCCAAGGTTCAAAGATTGTTAATATAGTCCGCCTTACTACTAGCCATAACAGGATTCTAAGTTGTTTTTCCCAATAATATCATTCGTTTAGCTTACCAGGATTGGCAAAATTGATATAAAAAGTTTGTTGTTGAAACTTGTTGCATCGCTCCACTAGTCGTTGTGACGAGTACCTCTTTCAAACTCTTTGTTCCGAATGAATGTAATTTAGACGACTAGTACTTTAATGATCATGACGTTTTACCATACGAAACATTTAGCACGAAATAGTTAATATTAAAACTAGCAGTTCGGACCTCACATGTGTATCAGTCGGTGCATTTCGACTACATCGGCCAATTGAGTTTGATCGAATTCACCCTCCCATTTGTCATTGTTCTTAAGTACATTCCAAATGACAAGAATGATCGTGATCGTGAAAGAACAAAGAAAGCCCGCACAATGGATCATGCACTATTTCTGTTACAAGTCTTTTTATGGTGTCATTCATCTTCCGCCTACATTTTATTATCAACGATGTGAGATGGTAATAACGCCACATAAAATATTTCGGGGTCCACCTCTGATTGGGTTGTCTATTCAAAAGAGAATATTTTTCTAAAAATGAATAACAATTAACAAACTGATGAACATTCTTTTGGCATTAATTGTGCGGTAGTAGTCACGGTAGGTGAATAGGATAATAATATCGAGAACCCTTCCTTCGAATCAAATAAATAATGAATGAGCGATCGTAGTCAAGAACCCCATTTTGGTATGAATGTCAATAATAGTAATAGAATGAGTACCCGACGCGTCTTGTGGCGTTCTGTAAATGTGGCATCAGTAATTCTGAACCCCCTGAATTTTGCTCTTGCAGCATGCCCCACATTATCATATGAAATCACATAATAATAGCACGTGATGTTTCGACGTTCTTTGTTCATTTAGATGCTACAGAGGGTGCAACTTGGCAAGCATATTCAATGTAACGATACCTAATTAACTCCGTTTCATGCTTACCTTACCCCCACTAAAATCGTTTCGAGTTGTGGAAAACCGCTTTGCAGATCACCCGTGACCGCCCTTGGTGCCCCTTGTAATCGAGTCGACGTCATAACTAATCCCGCTTCACATACCCCTTCAAGTTCCTCTCAATAAGTTCTTAGAAAGTTTAGGTTATGGCACCCAACACAGGAGACTCTAATGTGAATGATGGACAACCGACACAGCTTTTAGATGGCACTGCAGGGCAGGAGCAGGAGCGAGAAGAAGGCATTTGGTCTTCCATACTGGATAGTGTATCGTCCACTAAAGCTATTCCAACAAAAAACGCAATAATACTAGGTTCGTCCCTTCTGTCAGTAAAGAATCAGTATAAACTAAGGTTCATTTTATTCCATATGAAAAATCCGACCTCGAGTATTTGCTAACCTTTCACATATCCATCCCGCAACAAGGTGATAAGGAGTCAGGAAAATCCACTCTCATCAGTTATTTAAAAGGTGAAGACGATTTTGAGACGTCGGACCGCAACAATAGTCTTAACAAAGCAGAAGATGGATTACCAAGAGGAGACTATCAGAATAATGACTTGGCACTTAGTTATACATTTGTTGATATCGATGATGAAGAAACTGAAGAAGGTTCGTAGTATTTATCATGTCATGTTTTCGCGGTAAAGTCGTCCGCGAGAGGAACTTTAAGCGCTTTTAAGATTAACAGACTATTGTTTTGAAGTGTGTTGGTTAATTGCGGCATGTTTTTTAACTTTGGTCATTTGATCTGCAGATGACACAATCGCTCGTCTAGGTTTTTACCAGCTGGCGAGCTCAGACAAAGCCTATAATTCTTTGCTTCGCTTTGCTCTCAATTTAACAACACTACAAGAGTCGGTCATTATTATAGTCTTGGATTGGTCTCGTCCGTGGACGTTCATCGAGACGTTGCAACGTTGGATCAAAGTGGTTGAACAGGCAATCAATTCTGTGAAGCAAGAGGGCGATTCTGGTTCAAAGACTGGTTGGACAAAGGGCAAAGTTCTAGTTGAAGAAATGGCGGAATTATGTACGTTTTCTAATTCTTAAGTGTGATTAGTGTTCTACGCGGAATTAACTAACATGTAAACGTATCACAGTGGAAAAGTTTATTCAGTCATATACCGACTCCGAGACATCTGCACCTAATTCCAACGTTCTTGAACCTGAATCGGAGGTAGCACTTCCCATGGGTCCAGGAACTCTAACCACTAATTTGGGCATTCCGTTAATTGTTGTTTGCGCAAAGGTCTGGTCTAATATGTTACGTTGTTGTTTTTTTTTGAGAAAAACGTTTCAAGTGAGTCAGACATATTGATCGTAAAAATTTCCTACAATTTAGTCTGATAATATTTCAAATCTCGAGCAAGATTCTAAGTTTAAATTCAAAGAAGAACAGCTGGAATTCATACAGCAAAATTTACGAACAGTCTGTCTTAAATGTAAGTGAACTACAACGCATCCCAATTATGGTTACTTCATAACATAACTATTTCTTATTTTTCACATTTTTGCTTTTAAAAAGATGGCGCTGCTTTGTTTTACACATCTACCCGACATCCAGAAACAATCGGAAATCTTCGTAAATACATCCTCTATAGACTCCTTGGTGCAAAAGCATCTTCAAGCACCAACAAATCCGCATTTGCTTTTAACTTAAAGACTGATGTTGTAAACAAAGAGAGAGTAATGATTCCGACTGGATGGGATTCTTGGGCAAAGATCAAAATTTCCCGAGAATTCGATTGTAAGGGTGTATCAGAAGGATGGGATGACGACATGGAACCAAGGGATAGTAATCAAACAGAGGATAGTAGTGTGAGTGCCAAAAAGATATACGCCGAAGTTATCTATCAGGAAGACGACGACAATGTAAGACTTTTATTTTTTATTTTTTATTTTTTTATTTTTTTATTTTTTTGCATACCCGCATGTATATGTGAACAGTATAAATATAACAAACTTTATTTATTATCAGCCGTTGTCAGAACAAGTTATGATTGTTGCTGAAGACGAACAAGACTTCTTTAAGGGATATTATGATTCAATCTCGAAACAGAATGGCGATAAAGTGCAAATGGCACCATCGGTGGTTGGGCCAATGGGTGCAGCAGCCTATACAGCTGCATATACTAACATTGGCGGAATCGACGAAGAGAAATGGGCTAAATTCGGAATTGGCAAAGTGAGTAACTCGAGAAGGTTTGAGAATCAACAAGTAAAAATAGCTGGTTTTCTAAATGTGTTATTTATATTTCATAGGATCAAAGCAAAAGCAGCACAAGCAATGTGCCGGCTGTTAACGGTGAGGCTCCAAATGGCCCTGTAAATGGCGTAGGGACATCGACGCAACCGCCTTCCCAGAATGAAGTTCTTGCTAATTTCTTCCAAGGGCTTCTTGAAAAGAGGGCAGGCACAAGTAGATCCCCACAACCGCCTGCGAATGGTTCCACAGCCAATTTGGCTTCAGGAAACCCTAAACTATCGACTGTTGCTATGGTACAGGTAGAACTTGAGAAAATGAAAGCAACTGCTGGTACTGTCGGCAAGTGAAAATTATAAAAAGTTCTTGATATTGGAATGGGTTCTCCAACAATCACTGTAATGAATGGGAAGGTCATATACTATATATTTGTATACGTGTAACAAAGCCAACACTTTCAATGTGTGGGACAATGTGGTTATAGGTTCTGTTTTTACTTTATATTCTTTTTTATTATATAAATTTATCTTTCATACTCTTCGGAACGGAATCACTTCGTGGTCGTCCTTTGTCATGATTCGTAACTTAACGGAGTGGTCTGATGTTGTATATTTACTTCAGCTAAATATCCTATAAAAACATCTTAGTTTTTTCATAGAGTGTCAGATCATAAAAGTGAGTGTGCAGCTGGCGCAGCAATTGTTATTGATGATGACGTAAACAATTTTGTTAGTAATAAAGCAGAGGTGAACAGTTAGATCCTTAACGAAAACCATGTACCAAGGACTGCACTACGATCCAGATAATATAATAGAAGAAGATGGCGGAGACATCTCCCAGGAAGACTGCTGGGCCGTCATTCAGACATTTTTTAACGACAAAGGACTCGTTCGTCAACAGTTAGACTCGTTCGACGAGTTTGTGCAGAACACTATGCAAGAGATTGTTGACGAGAATAGGAATCTAGTCCTACAAACAATACAAGGCTCTGGAAACGAAGGTGATCAGGCGGTATGTAAACACTGATTGCTTCCCTTGGATTGAACTTGTAATAGATCTCGTTGAAAGTTATAATGAATAACTGAACCTCAAAAGTAGCGGTTGTGAATCAAGATTCGTGTTTGTAGAAACCACAGTATTATATATTGCTCTAGAGAGTGTCGTTATGTTTGTAATTGAAAAACGAAAATAAAGCTATGCTCTTGCCAGTCTCCCTTGAAGTAGCCAGAGATGGTAGAGAGAACTTTGGAGATTTCGAAGTAGTTGCTCTAATATATATGGTCTTTACCATCATTGACTATTGAAGGATGGTGCAAATTTTTAATTCAGCCATATGTTGACGGTGGGGTGGAGCTACTGCGTGCAATAGAGTGCGATCATGAATCTCGTTCATTAAACATCTCAAGGCTTACTTAATTCACATCAGAGACGATTTTACATTCAATTCGGTCAAGTTTATTTATCCAAACCGACAATGACCGAAGCGGATGGTAGTTGTCAAGCCATGTTTCCCCAAGAGGCTCGACTTCGGAACTTGACGTACGGTCTTTGATCATGTTTTTGTTTGATTTGATACCTTTTATAGACTCTCTCAGAAAAGGATTAGATTTTTTAACGGGCTTGTTTCGATATATACAACAGATATGCCGCTCCTTTATATGTTGACATGAGGGAGAAGATAGCACATGCGGATCCTAGAGCACCTGCCAATCGTGACAAGACGAACGTGAACGATATGTTCAACGAAGACGACCTTCAAGAAGAGAATCAGAATCCCGCAGATTTCGATAAAGTCTTTGTGGGAAAGGTTTGAAATCTGGCAATTTCATCATATGTGTAATGATTGACTTGCAAGTATTTACGATACATAAAACTGCATCTTGCCTGGACAGGTACCGATAATGCTAAGATCAACTTTCTGTGTTTTACATGGATTGGAAGATAAGAATTTGTATGCCTTGAACGAATGTCCATATGATCAGGTTTGCTCAAAAGCTCGAACTTGTTAACCCGTTGTTTAGATTTGTGCATATTGTTCGTCTATAATAACTGTACAACAATCTTTTTACTGTCAGGGCGGCTATTTTATTATAAACGGCTCTGAGAAGGTGCTTATTGCTCAAGAGAGGATGGCAACTAATACAGTGTACGTCTTTGCAAAGTCACCTCCTTCACCATATTCATACACGGCTGAAATAAGGAGTGCTGTCGAAAAAGGTTCTAAGCAGTCAAGCTCCCTGATGATCAAGCTGCTCGCAAAGACAGCCGAAAGAGGAGTATGTTCACACCCAAGAGTATAATCCGCAGAAATCAATTCGTGTTACTAATCTTTTCCTCGCAATAGTCAACAGGTCAATATATTCACTCGACCATACCATATATTAAAAAAGATGTACCAGTGGTGATTGTATTCCGTGCGCTTGGTCTAGTGGCAGACAAGGAGTTTCTTGAACATATCTGCTATGATGCTAATGATTTCCAAATGCTGGAGACGCTCAAACCGTGTATAGAGGAGGCGTTTGCAATACAAAGCCAAGAGGTATCATTTTATTTCTCTCTGTGTCAAAATATTTTGCAGTTAGTAGCCAAATTTCTAACATAACAATAGGTCGCTTTGGATTGGATCGGTCGTAGAGGGACAACTACGGGTGCAACTCGCGATAGACGTATAAAGTATGTGTGTGTATTCATCGTGGATATGATTGTGAGAAAAATGTTGACACGAATAATTTAACGGTATCTAGGTATGCAAGAGAAATATTACAAAAAGAACTGCTGCCTCACGTCGGTACTGAATTTAAGTGTGAAACGAAGAAAGCATATTTTTTCGGTTATATGGTACATCGATTACTGCTCGCTGCTCTTGGTAGGCGCGAATTAGATGATCGAGATCATTACGGAAAGAAAAGGATGGATCTTGCCGGACCACTGCTAGCGTCGCTATTCCGTATGCTCTTTAAAAAACTTACAAAAGATATTAGTGCCTATTTGCGCAAGGTTTGTCACTTCGATCGTATACGATTTCGACTGTACAACGCTAACGCTGTTGAATTATTGTTACAGTGCATCGATACAAGCCGTGAATTTAATCTCAATTTAGCGGTGAAGGCTCAGACTATTACCAATG